GACAGAGTATACAGTGGTCAGGGTGTGTTCAAAGCTGATGGCATCTCCAAAAAGTTTTTCATGAAGGCTGCCAGCTTCTGAAGGTCTTCCTTGGTGACAGCATTATAGACAGAGGCGCGGATGCCTCCCACAGACCTATGGCCTTTCAAAGACAGCATATTGTGTTCAAAAGCTTTATCAAGAAATCTTTTTTCTAGAGCATCATCTCCTTTGGCATTGCCAATGCGAACAGGCTATTCATCTTGCTTCTATTCTTGGGCTCCACTGGACATACATAGAACCCTTGAGAGTTATCGATGATATCGTAAATCATTTGAGATTTAGCAGCGCTGAGCTTCCCCATGGCTGCTGCACTGCCGTTGTTCTTAATCCATTCCAGAACCAGGCCCATGACATACATGCTGAAGCATGGAGGTGTGTTGTACAATGAGCTGTTTCCAGCTTGCACTTTGTATTCTAGGATGGAGGGGCATTCTTGGAGAGTGAACCCCAGTAGGTCATCATGCATCATCACCACTGTGACCCCAGCAGAGCCCACATTCTTCTGAGCACCAGCAAAAATCCCACACTTGGAAACATCCACGGGCTTGGACAGGAAGTTTGAAGACATGTCACAAATCAACAGGGCACCTTTGACATCGGGTATACAATCAATCTCCAACCCATGCACGGTCTTGTTTGCGCAGTAATACACATAAGAGGCGACTGGGTTGAGGTTCCAGGTGCTTGGATCTGGAATTTTTGCATAGCTTCTGAGCTTGGGGTGGATGATATATACAGTCCCAAACTTCTTGGCTTCTTCTGCAGTCTTAGCTGACCAAGCTCCTGTCACCACGTAGTCAGCACATCTGCCTGTCTTCAGACCAGTCAGGTTTAAGGGGACAGCACTGAACTGGCCAGACCCACCTCCTTGCACAAAAATCACCTTGTAGTTATCTGGAACCGCTAACAATTCCTGCACAAGATTCTTTGTGGTGTTTATAATCTTAGCAAAATCGGATGACCTGTGGTTCATTTCAAGAACACTAATTCCAACGCCTTTGGAGTTTAGTAAATCCTTTTGTGTCTCCAGCAATACGGAATACAACAGCTTGGCGGGCCAGGCCGGAAGTTGACCACTTACCTTGGTGTATCCATGGTGTGGCGGCCGGGCTGTGAGACTCTAGAAGGACTGTTTGTGTGGGTATCTCTCGTAACCTGGCGGCCTTGACACACATTTTTAAGGGACACAATTTGATCCATGACAAGGCCACTGAGGCTCAGAATGAGACATCACTTGCCCAAGACTGTTCTGTCAAGAAGTGATAGCAGGAATTTGAACCCAGGTCAACAACAACAACAACCACCACCTTACTCAGCTCTGAGCATAGGGACAGAGGAGAGTCGCTTCTTTCCTGAGGCTGAGGGTCAAGGGCAGAATCACACAGTAGGCTAGACATGAATAAATGAACAAGGGAATTTAAGATGGTACTAATTGCCATGTAAGAGTTGGGGGTGAGGAGAGGACAGATGAGGGAGGGCTTCTATACGGAGGCAATCAGGCAGCGGAAGGGATAGGGAATGGTGCCTTGGAGGGAAACCCAGAGAGACACTAGGAGAGAGACAGATCTCTAAGACCTTATGGGCCACGGTGAAGACTTTCACTCTGTGGTGCATAGGGAGCCACGGGCGGGTTTGGAGCAGGGGAGGGACGGTGGTCTGAGTTTTAAGAAATATCCTGTGGTTACCGAATAAGGAACCGGGAATGCAGTGAAGACAGAAGGCTCCTAACGCTTTTCTCGGACGCTGGAGCCTGAGTCCCTAGGGGCCCAGTTCCTGGGAAAAAGACGCAGGAAGGCGATGGGGTGAGGGGCGCTGGGCCCGGAAGAGCCTCCCTCCTTCCGAGGGCCCAAAGGAAGTGAGAATGCCGCCTGGGAGGTGTGAAGCGGCCACCTCCCCACGTTGGGTGTGGCTTCCCCTTTGCAAAAGGGGTCACTTCACAAGCCCTGCCACACTGGGGGCTCTCCACGTTCATCCCCCTGGGTGCGGTCTGGGGCTTTCTCCTTAGGTCCAGCCGTCGGATTCAAGACACGGAAGTGTTAACACCCACAACCACGGAGTTGGGAGTCGGGGGGTAGAACGCAGTGTCGCGGCCGAGCCTCATTGGTTGCTCTGTCTCCGCTCGCGTCTTTGATTGGTCCACAGGCAAGAGCCGTCCAGTACCCCCTTTTTCCCTAGAGGAGCAGTCGGCTTCCGACCCACCCGGGATCCCCGATGGACTTAATGGGGGTGAGGGGCGTGACCCGGCCTAGGTGTCCCTTCAAGTCCCGACCCTCAACCCTGTGCATCCCTCAGGTTCATCGCCCCTCTAAGCGTCCTCACCCCACCCACTGCCGGCAGGACCTGGATACTCTGGGGCAAAGGGCACTGTCACTGGGAAGGTCTCGGCGGCCAGACTCAGCCCCACCTCCAGCCTGTGGCGCTGGGCTGAGGATGAGGGGTGGACGGTGCGGGGCTAGCTGAGACTGGTCAGTTCGAGGACCAGCGGCCTTGGAGAGCGACACCAATGGAGAAAGACACAGACAGCAGGAAAAGAGAGAAATCGCGACAGGAGAACAGACGTCGAGATAAACACAGACACTCCGAAAGACCTTGTGCGAAACAGACCCAAAGAAGTGAGGGAGACGTCTGGCGCATTCTTTCGCTCCCTCGACGGCCACATAATGGTCGCCGACTGTGTTCCTTGTAGTGCCCAGGACAGTCGCAAATCCCTGTCACTGGGGGCTAGCAGTCTGGTACGGACATAGCTCCAAAACACGAAAATTGAGTAACTCACATTGTCCAGAGCGACAAGTGTGGAAGAGACCAGACGGGAAAACTAGCACCGGTGGGTGGGACGAGCCCACCCTCTTTATCTCCGGAAGGGGATGTTCCCACAGGACTCACGCCTGCGCCTGCCCCTCCTCCACGCGCCCCAGGCCAGTGCCCAATCACCCGGGGTGGGGGGAGGGGGATCAGGCCACAGCGGCTCCTGTTGACAATCCCTTGTTCCCGCGTTGCCCAGACCCTCTGGCAACAGACCCTGTGGCGACGGGGCGCACCTGGGGCCAGCCCAGACTTAGGAGGGAGGTGGGCGTTAATTGGGGCGGCTCCCCCTCTGCTGGTGGAGAAGAAGCTGAGTTTGCGACAGTCCCTGGGAGAGAACCCTGCAACCCCTGCGTCTCCAGGTCCCCCACCACGACGGAGCCCTGGGAAAGCAGCCCAGAACCCCGAGGGCTCGCCGGTGCCAGTCGCCGCCCGGCCGCGCTCCGGTGCCGCGGCGGGTGGCACAGACTGGTAGCCCCGGGCTGTATGCCCGGGCCCCGAGGGGAGGGGGCAATTGCTGGCGACCTCGAAGCCCTCACTCTGCTGGCCCGCCCTGCGCCTGCTGGCTCCAGCTCCGCCCCCGCGTCCGCTCACTCCGCTCGGGCCAGCGCGGCGGCGGGGGGCGCAAGACCAGGCCCTGGGGTGAGTGTGCCACACCGAGTCCCGGGGGACGCAGGGCTCCGCTTGGTCCAGAGGGGGTGGTTGTACCTGGACACCATCGCTGTTGGCTAGAGCAGCTCCCTTTGCGGGGATTTCCCAGGCTTTTCCCGGAGGACTCCAGGGAGCGGGAAGACTGCGGCTCTGGGGTTGAGTGCGAGACACAGAGTAGGGGGCGTCTGGAGACTGCCGGCCTCGACCCCTCTAGGCCTCGTCACTGCTAGTTTCGCTACCTTAGTCTCGTTGCCAGACTAGTAGGGCGAGGGGGAGGTGCAGAGGCTGCGCGCCTCTGAGGGCTCCTCACCAGCCAAGTGTGTGTGGCTCTAGTCTGCGTGATTTTGTCTCACCTCCCTACCCCCTGAGCGAGACTGAACCATTACTCCCTCTTGGTCTGTATGCGTTCACGCCACGTTCCTTTTGTGCGACTGAATTCGTCTGGGCGGTGTAAGTCTGATCCCCTTTCTAGGTCTCAGTTTCCCCATCTGTTGGGTGACTGTGCTACACTTTCTGCATGGATGCGTTTCGGTGGGAGCATGGATACATTTGTGTTTGCTGTGTGCGAGTCTCGATTTCCTCAGATATCAATTGAGAATAAAAAGAGACTTGAGGGGATTAAAGGGTGCAGCCTCAGGTGGGAGGTGTTATTATACTTTAATGACATGTGTGTCCCTTCGCAAGAGTCTGTGCGACGGGGATCCTGTCTGCTGCCCTCTGGCTCTGTGTCTGTAAAATGGGTGCCTCAGATCAACTTTGTCAGGTTTTGGAATGGATGAAAGGGTTTGGGAAGGAAAGAGCCTTGCAAAGTGTGAGGCTCTGGGTCCCAGGCTGGGTGAGATGTGGTGTGGGTCGAGGAAGTGAAATGGTGGTCTATGTGACTGTGTCCCCTTTTACGAGTGGTTGAATTTATGTCTCTGTAGCACCGTGTTGCTCTGCCGTGTGAATGCATTTGCGCGCGTCCTGCGTGGTGCGTAGGAGCACGACTGTTGTACTGAGTAAGCATTGGGCTAACAGGTTGGTGGTTCAAACCCTTCATCCGGAGAAAGATGAGGCTGTCAGTTTCCCTCAAGATTTATTTAGGTCTCAGCAACCCTAGTGAGCAGTTCTACTCTGACCTTTAGGCTTGCTGTGAGTGTGACACCATTTCACGGTAGTGGATTGGGTCTGGTGGTGTGTGGCTGTCTGTGAAGTCCCTGAATTTGTGTGTGTCATCTGTTAATGATCGAATATGCCTCTGGATAGTCTGGCCTGTGTGTGAATTATTAGTGTCCCTTTTGTGTCACCCTGTCCCCTCGTCTGTCTCCATGGGCACGCCCCTCCGTTCCAAGTTCCCTATTGGTCCCAGTGTGCATGTGGAGTAATGGGCAGGGATTAAGGTCCCTTTTCCAGGGCCACAAAGTCGCGCCTTTGCCTGCTTCCGCAGGCCTCGGGGACGGTGCACGCAGAGATTGACCGGACTGAAGCCGCACCCGACCTCTTCGCAGCCTTAGGGCAGGCAGCCCATGGATCCCGGGCTGCTGCGGCCTGCGCCTGTGAGCGAAATCATCGAGCTGCATTACAACTACACTGGCAAGCTTCGCGGGGCTCGCTACCAGCCTGGCGCGGGACTGCGCGCTGATGCCGTCGTGTGCCTGGCAGTGTGCGCGCTCATCGTGCTCGAGAACTTGGCTGTGCTGTTGGTGCTCGGGCGCCACCCACGCTTCCACGCGCCCATGTTCCTACTCCTGGGCAGTCTCACGCTGTCTGACCTGCTGGCAGGCGCCGCCTACGCCGCCAATATCTTGCTGTCCGGGCCACTCACTCTACGCCTGTCGCCCGCACTCTGGTTCGCGCGCGAGGGTGGCGTCTTCGTGGCGCTTGCCGCATCGGTGCTGAGTCTCCTGGCCATAGCGCTCGAGCGTCGCCTCACCATGGCCCGCCGGGGACCCGCGCCCTCCACCCGTCGAGGGCGCACGTTGGCGCTGGCGGCTGCTGCCTGGGGGGTGTCGTTGCTCATTGGGCTGCTGCCAGCGCTAGGTTGGAACTGCCTGGGCCGATTGGATTCGTGCTCCACCGTGCTGCCACTCTACGCCAAGGCCTACGTACTCTTCTGCGTGCTCGTCTTCGTTGGGATCCTAGCCGCCATCTGCGCTCTGTACGCGCGCATTTACTGCCAAGTGAGTGCCAACGCGCAGCGCCTTCGGTCGCGTCCCGGGGCTAGCGGAAGCGCCTCTTTCCGGACACGCCACACGCCGCGCACACTGGCACTGCTACGCACACTCAGCGTGGTGCTCCTGGCCTTCGTGGCGTGCTGGGGTCCCCTTTTCCTGCTGCTGCTGCTCGATGTGGCGTGCCCAGCGCGCGCATGCCCAGTACTCTTGCAAGCGGACCCCTTCCTGGGCCTGGCCATGGCCAATTCTCTTCTGAATCCCATTATCTACACGCTTACCAACCGTGACCTGCGCCACGCGCTCCTGCGCCTCTTCTGCTGCGGTCGTCGTCCTTGGGGCCTAGGTCAGGGTGATTCCAGGCAGCCGGGGAGCGCCGCTGGGGTTTCAGGCGGACTGCGTCAATGGCTACCTCCTGGCACTGACGGCAGCTCCAGCCGCTCTGAGCGCTCAGATCGCTCGTCGCCGCGACGGGATGGGCTGGACACCAGCGGTTCGACAGGCAGCCCTGGAGCACCCACTGTCGTCCAGACCCTGGCTCCTGAGCCCGCTGCAGATTGACAAACCCAGGCCTTCCCAAGAACCGTTTTTTGCACTTTCTTGTTTTAAATAAAGGAATGTGTAGGCAACGCAGCTGAAGAAAAGACACAGGGTAAATATGTTAATTGAAGCAAAATACCCTTTCTAGAGTGCCTACTGTGGGCCAACGTCAGTGTCAGACACTGGGTCCACAACAGTGACCTAAATAGAACTGAAGTTCGGGTCAGGTGAAACCGGCATTAATGGTGAAGAAATAAAGGGGATCGTTTCAGTGACAATGCAATAATAGTATCAATGATGATGGACTCCCAGAAGGAAGAGCATTCCAGGAAGAAGGAAGTGCAGGTGCAAAGGCCCTGAGGCTGATGTGTTCAGTGAATACAAGGATCCTGGCTGTCTGAAGCAGAATGATGGAGACAGGGTCTGGCCTTGTGGGGGGAGGGACGGACTTTGGTTTTTCTCTAAATGAGATGGGAGCCATGGAGGCTTCTGAGCAGAGGAGAGAGGTGACCTGGCTTAGGTGTTTACAAGCTCCATCAGGCTGCCATTGGAGCGGGCTCTGTCCGATTGCACTGGCCGACAGAGCTGTAACCAGACAGATACTGGACAGAATTACTGGAGAATTGAGTATGAGGATGGGAAAAAAAACCACAAGGATGATTCTCCCAGTTTAAAAGGTGAGAAAGCCAGGGACAGGGCAAATTATTAAAATATTCAGCCAAATCCTGCCTGAGCTTAAAATTTCCTTGAGTGCAGGCTCAGATCCTTCATTATATAAAATAATAAAAATAAATGTAAACTTAATAGCTATTACAGTTTGTTTTATCAGCTTTACAGCCCTAAACTGAAGGCACACATTTTGTTTTCTCTCATCCTTACTGGCAACCTTGCAAGGTAGGTTTTGTCACCTCTGTTTGACAAGTGAGGAAACTGAGGCTCCAAGCTCTGAGTCGTTGACTCCGTGTTTACTTGAGGCAGGATTCCTGCCTGCCATCAAGTTGCCAGCTCCAGAAGGCCTCAAGTCTAATGTCTGACTCCTCCAGATGGTTTCTAAATTCGATTCTTTCCATATCAGCACTCCCTATCCCAGGGCTCAGCATTCACGGCTGGGGGGTGGGGCACTACCAGGCCCCTCTGCTCATACACCGCTCCAGGCACGTCTGGAGTCACATTCATGACCCCTGAGCGGCTGCTGGGGAAACAGTGGAGGTGTTGGGTCTACACGCTAGTGTGCCACCTGGTGGTAGATCTCGGAACTGCATACAAACAGAAGGCGGTGTCTTGAAGGTCGCTGACCCATCCTGGGAAGCGTATCCGCGGGACATAACCTGGTCCGCCCCTGCAGGCTATACGCCTAAGAAACCCACCTATTTCTTGAAACATATGTACACACATAATCTTAAGCTCATGGTCTCAACAATTCCAGGATTTAATGTAATTCCCTACTAGCCTAGAAATTTCTCCAAACTTCCAGGGGGAACCTGGGTACGCCCAGGACACCTCACCCCATTCATTATGTTCGGTTGTTTGATGGCGAGATGATAGGATGTTTATTGATTTACTCACATTTTACATTTTAAAAGCACCTACTTCCCTAAACGTGCTGTTTGTGAAGAAAGAGCTTTGTTCATTTCATAGCGGTAGTATGACTTGGGAATTGTAGTAATTAAATTATTTTTTATTGAGGTAAGCATCTGTAGAGTAAATGTCTTGCACCTTTTAACTGGGCTCCTGCTGTGGCGCTGTAGGATCAGCATTGGACTGTGAACCACAATGTCGGCAGTTCAAACCCACCAGCTTCTCCTTGGAAACCCTATACAGTGTGGTTATGAGTCGGAACTGACTCGACGGCACTTAACAACAATAACAACAAATATTAGTATTTCACAGCGTGGCTAAGTCATGCCGCTATGGAGGGACATTTAGCTTGAGTCCAGCCCTCGCTATAACCAGCGTTACCATACACGTGTGCTAGTATATCTTAGATAAATCTCTACGAGTGGCTCTGTTGGGTCACAGGGCATGTAAGTTTGATTTTGAGATAGTCTTTAGGTGTGTGCGAGGAGCTTGCGGGTTTCTCAGCCTATTCTCCAACTTTGAAACAGCGCCTCCTCTGGAGGGGCCCGGGACCGCAGTTTCACGTCAAGAGGGTAGAGAAAACTCGACGCAAACTGGAGACTCTGGTTTAATGCCAGACCCTGGAGGCTCGTGGAAGTTTTTTCTTTGACCAACATCTCTTCAGCCCCGTGTCTCCCCAACCTGCATTCCCTTTTAATACTTAGTTTTCATTTAGATGACTCCTTTTAAACTAAACATTTAAAAGTTAACTGTACAAAGTTTTTGCCCCCCCAAACAAACAAACAAACAAAATGCTAAAGATGATAGAGAGAAATACTGTTAACCGATGATGTATGGAGGGGAATATAATCAATGTAATGAAACAAGTCATATGAATGGTTGAATGTGAAACTGATGATGTGCCCTGTAAACTTTCACTCAATCCACAATAAAAACCTTAAAAAAAAAAAGTTAACTGTATATCATCGCTGGCGTAAAGGGCAAGTCAATATCCTTTGCCATGACAAATAACAACTGTTCATATCTATTGGGCGCTAGTCTTTTACAACAACCTAGCAGGGAGGTGCTATCATTTTACCATTTACAGGGAGGAAACGAAGAGCTGGAGAGGTAGAATCTCTGGGGTTCGAACTCCTGCTGACGAGCAGGGCGGTAACAACAACAACAAAAAAGACATAAAAATCCCAACTACGCAGGTCGTTCTAGTGGGATCCCGAGTGCGGCAAACCGCACGGCCTACACTATGAGCACAGCACGTACAGGCAGAGATCGTGGAGAGCAGCTGAGACGCAGGATGCAGGATGGAGACTTGGAGTCACAGCGCGAAGCGGGAACGGTCCCCGCCGATTTGGAGCCCCGCAGCCCTCAGACAGGCGCCCTGCACCTGCGGCAAGGGCGGAGAATCGCAGATCGTTCCCCGCCGCGCCCTCCCCGCCCTCTCCCCGCCTCCTTCCCGGGCGTCCAGAGGCTGCCCCCCACGCTACGGCCACGACCCTGCAGGCCGCTCTGCCCGGGCGCCGAGGCTCCACGACTGCCGAACGCTCGCGGATCCCGACGACAGAGGTTAGGTAGGAGCCGCCCCGCCCGGGCCGCTGCCCTCGGGCTTCCCGGAAGCGCCGTGCACGGGTGGCACGGCCGTGCTCAGAGCCTCTGCGGTGACCCAAACATTCCCATCCCTTAGCAGAGCTACGGAGGCGGCGCGAGGTGAGTACGGCGGCAGCGGCGGGGAGAGTGTCCTCGGGTCGGTTAGGGGAGCGTCGGGTCTCGAACTCTGGGCTGTGATTCCTGGCGGCGCTGGCTACGCAGGTGGTGGCGCCGAGGATCCTGGCCGCGGCGCTCCATAATGGTGGGTGCTGTGGTCGCTGCACAGGGGCGGCGCAGCTCGGCGATTGCGGGCGGGGACGGGGGGGTGGCTCCTGTCGCGTGCTAGCGGCGCCGCCGGAGGCTCGGACCGCGGGGACTTTTATTCTGACACGGCGGGCCCCGGCTCTGCTTAGTCATGGTGACCTGCGCGCTCCGCGCCTCCCCCTGGCGCGCGGCGATGGAGGCGCCCGGGCCCAGGCGGCAGAGGCGGAGCCCGAGCGCGGCCACGGCGGGGTGAGTGAGGCGGCCTGCGCCCCGGCTGCGGACACCACGGGCCGCGAGCACCTGGACAACTGTGCCTGAGAGCTCGGGAGCGGGGTGACGCGGTCCCGGGCGCCTCGGGGTTCACCGCGTCCTGGAACAGCCAGGAGGCGCGACCCGAGTGCTATCTTTTTGTTAGGTCGCGCCCTCCGCAGGGTGGCCCGGGAAGGATGGCAGCCGGGTGGGGGACCTCGGGAGCGCCGGTCGCAAGGAGGCACGGGGACCCCAGAGCGTTGGGGGACTTAATCGGCGCTCTGGGGCAAACTGGCAAGAGGCCGCGGTGGGGTCACTTCCTGCCTTCTCCAAGCCTTGATGGCGGTCCATTTGGGGCATGCGCAATCCCCACTTGTCGCTTCTTGCAAGGGGGGGGGAGGATGCCCGGTGGCCAGTGGGCACCAGTGACCGATTGGTCAAAGGCAGGCCCAGGACCTGACACCGGCAAGGGAGTCAAGCCGCGCCCTGGATCCGGGTGGAAGAGGGTGCTGGAGTGGGCAGCCAGCCAGCCCCACGTTTACTGAGCGCTGTGCAATGCCAGGCCCTGAGCAAGACGTGGGGGAGACACAGCGTTGATCAAGACAGGCCTCCCCGCCCCCCACCCCACCCCCACCCCGCCTGCTGGAAAGCCGAGGCTGTAAGAAGGGGGGCCAATCAATTCCTCAACAACCAGCCAAAGGATCCCTGACAAGAGCAGTGATGAAAGTGAATCTGGAAGGAGGACCTAGGAACCCCTGCAGATCCAGACCAGCTGGTGTGGAAACCTCTCAAAACAGAATTCAAACCTGCCCCTCCACAGGTCCTTTGGCCTTATGCAAACTCCCCTCCTAGTCTCCCACCACACACACTTCTCCCTCCTCCCTGATTCTCCAGATACCTGCACGTTTCAGATGCTTTCTTCCCCAAATGTCAGTTCCACGAAGGAAGGGCTTTTGTGTTTTGTTTTGTTTTTGTCTGTCTTGCTTACCTCTCTGTCACCTGTGCCTAGGATACTAGCCGGCACACAGTAGGCACTCAAGTGTTTGTGAGGTGAATTAAGGAACGCTCCTGGCATTCTCCCAGTGGCTGGAACCGAAAGGGGGCTGACTGCAGGTCCTCACAGACCTCTGAAGAGCTCAATATCATTCTTAGTGCCTTGGGGAGTTTTAGAGAATTCTGAACAGGGGAGGGACCTGGTTTTAAGAAGGGCTCTTGGGCTGGTGAGGCTGGGGGCAATTAGGGAGAGGAATGGATGCTGCTCTAGCCAGTTGACTTGTTTTAAGGAAAACCAAGTGGGAATCGCTTTATCTTACAATGGGAGGCCTGGCAGTTGGCCCTGTCCCCAG